CTCTTGATCCATTTCAAGCTTTTTCAGCACTCGGCGGGCCAGAAGGAGTCCAGTGCAGTAAGCTAGTTCAAAGATATTATTTCAATTCCTACTTACAATAAAACATAGTTTACTATACAATCTTTAGCTAATAAAAAATGACAATACCAGCAGCATAGTTGGTGAGGCCAACTTCAAGGCCAAAATAGGGCAGTTCATGTGCATAGGCAGCAGAAAGAACATGGTCACCAGTGATGCTAGCGGACACAACTTGAGCAATTATATCTTTGTTTGTCTAAAAATTATGTTAAGGTACAGCAAACATTGGCTCAAGACGCAACCACACAATGGTGATACATACTAACATGTAACCCATCTTAATATAATTTTAGTGATAAATAGTGAATCTCAACAGAAGATAAATAAGTGAATCAAGTCTGGCATGCCTAAGAAGAAAGAGATATTCATAGTACGACAGGACATAAACAAGATTAATGCATATAGCATTGTGTATAGGGCATGCCATTACGAAAAAACTAATCAATGCATCAGTGCTTCAAAGATCGGAAGAAAATAATAATGCATTAGATTCAACACAAACAAAAATATCCAAAAGAAATGTCGGCTTCAGGATACAAATCGCACAACAAATCTGTATTTTGGAGTGTTGTACTTGTTCTTGTCTTGATTGATGAGACGAATTCTTGCCCGGTAATCAGTCTTCCCCTCTAAATTGGAAATAATTAACCTCAATAAGCTGTATAATTTAAAGAAACATAAAAAAGACAAACGAAACAGCTACTGATATTTTACGTCTCCTTCTCTTGAATTTGACTTGGAAACGCTTGAAGTATGCATTCGACTTCTGGGCTTTGACAAAAGCCTGCAAACAACATCACTCATCATTAGCAAACACAAAATACTTCATGATTTAAATCGTTAGCAATCAACACTCAGCAACCAAAGCTTCACCACAACATAATGCTGTGAATTGGGCAGGTTCACTCACCTCCAACTCATCCTAAAACCCTTTTTCTTAGATAATAAACAGAAATTCATAGAGCAACAGAATTTCCAACTGATATTCAGA